ATGGGCAAAGTTTCTTTCACCCTGAATGCCCCTGTTACCTAGCAGTAAATAGGTACCTGGGTGTTAGTCAGCTGTCACGGGCTGCTTCCTGGGGGTGGAGGCCTGGTCGAGGACCGGGCCGCGGGGACACTAAAGCCCCGAAATCAACTCAAGATAACCTCAAGAAACCTTAAATTACATTCACTGGAAACGCGAAAAGTTAGGGATTGACATGAATGAAGTTTACAAGTGGATGAATGGACATTACAAAGGCGATATTAATAGGGTATTAAAAGTATCAACACAGGACAAAACACGAAACAATGGGTATAAACTGGATAAGTTTAGATTTCGGAAAGATCTGGGTAAATACTGGTTCGGTAAGAGGGTTGTTGATTTGTGGAACCAGTTGCCACGTGGCGTGGTGGAGGTGGGGTCCCCATGATTGTTTCAAGCGTGGGTTGGACATGTATATGAGTGGGATAGGGTGGTTATAAATAGGAGCTGCCTCATATGGGCCAATAGGCCTTCTGCAGTTACCTTTGTTCTTATGTTCTTATGTTCTTATGTCCTATTTCTCTTAACACATTGTTGTAAGTTTCTCTTCGGATGAGTGTTGATTTTAATGAAAATTGAAAGCACAATTCCTATAATTGTTTTTTATGAAGCTTTCTTTTGTAAAACAAGTCAGAGATGCTTAGATACGGCCCAGAAATAGTGGAAGGTCAAATATCTGCCAGGTGTGGAAGTCTTTGAACTGCTGGATATTCAAAACTCCCTAACCTAATCCAGTTAAACTAAACTATTCTATCGAAATCATTCTGATTCCATTCTGTCGTGAAATTACGAAACGTTTAATAATGGCTCCCGCATCTACTAGAATCTACTGAAAGACCTATATACTTTCCTTACTTTATTTATGAAGTGTAATATCTCCAATAAAATGAAAAGAAGTCGTACGTGGATATACAATTTGCAAAATAAGTTCCCAGTAATACCTTTATAAGTGTCACCGCATAATATTTATTTTCTTTGAAGCGTTCAGGTTCGGGATAGAAAACAGCTTATCGTTGGAGTAACTTAGGAATTTTGTTAAAATTTATCATATAAACATATGTATGGTAAGTATGACAAAATAATTGATGTTTAGTTATAAAAATGCATAATTTTATTTATTAATACGCTTGATGTTGAACGAATGTTTGCCTGAGTCACTGTGTGCTATACTGCCAGTGGATTTTATATATATACCGTTCACTAATGACGCTACCATCCCTAAATAAATTATTATGATTTCTCTTGAATTACTCTTCAAGACATTACTATTGCATGCCTCTGAATGCATAAGAGAACTGATGAGTTAGCCACTAGCCCTGTGACGTAGACATGAATATTTGCATTCAGTTTCTGAGCACATTATGTGCTTGAGTATGTTGACCAGACCAGATCAGAAAGTGAAAGGACGACGACGTTTCGGTCCGTCCTGGACCATTCTCGATTTATAGCGTTGTGATTCGAACAAAATTCATCAGTGAAGCACTTGTTCCGGATATGTTCGAACGTCAGAAGTTGTGAGTCGTGTGTAAACCGCTTTTCATTCATAAACAGGGGGTTTGGCGGGTGCATGGAATCACTTTTGGATCTTTGTTTGGAGGACGGGCTGCTCAAGTCGATTGTGACTCATCGCCTGCTCGTGTTTCAGTAATCATTTCCGCTGCTTTGCAATCCGTTCTCGCATATAAAGATTCAAAGCCGCCAAATCCCCTGTTTATGAATGAAAAGCGGTATACACGATTCACAACTGATGACGTCCGAACACTCCCGGAACAAGTGCTTCGCTCACGTCCTCTGTTCGAACTACAATTCTATAAATGCTTCACCCACGAACTTCAAATACAAATAATTACCAAGAGAACCTAAACACCTAACCTAAGCCAAACTATACATACAATTTTTATGTATAATAATATTAATTTATATATGAGAACAAACCATTTTTTAATACACAGTATGTTAAAAAATTGATGAATGTGTCTGGGGAGGACGGCCGCTGCTTTAAACAGCCTAGTTTGAGGACGGGTTGCACAATATAGTCGTAATGACTTGGCGCTTTACCTGTTAATTCCCTCCCTTTCCCAAGGTAGGGTTGTAGGGTTATTCCGATCAAAGATGGCGCTGATCAGTGTCTCACTGGCAACACAACGAATGTTAAAGATATTTCGAATTGTTTTCCCGTCGCCACGAATGGGCGATTTATTTGATTAATTTGTGTCCTTATTCCGCTATTATTATTATATTTTATAATTGACAATATACTTTTATCGTTGTTCACATCTTGGTAGTTACCTTGGTGACAGGAGACAACACGTGCGCATTCAGTTGTCGTCTGAAACAGTTCGGTTCTGCTGGATTTTTAGTGAGTTCCATTTTGTGTTATAGTCCTTTATATGGATAGAGCTATATACACCGAGAGGTATATCCAACTCCTCGGAGTATATACATTGAGAGTTTATATTAGACTTGAAAAGATGTCAAGGTGTAAAATACTCTCATATCTGTCAACCGTTACTTCTCTTAATAGGGTGAAATTCTCACGTTGATTTCGATAACGGGTTGAGGAAAGGCTGAGGTTGAAATGCTGAATGTTTATTTTGATTGCTAAATTGTTGCTAAAATTAGTTACATAATTGGGGGTTGTTTTAGGATGAAATGAACGGCTAAACTGCTTTAATCGTGCATAGGGGGTTATAAGTGATAACTCTTGTTTGGTGAGATAGTTTTGAGGGAGGGAATTGTTGAGTAGCTAAGTGTGGTGTGTGAGTTAGAGAGCTGTAGAGAAGCTAAGTGTGGGATATGACTGAGGGAATTGTAGAAGAGGTGTGGGGAATGCATTTTGTGAAATTCATTTCACTCCTCACACGGATCAGTCACATCTCTTCTGTGTTGACAAAGCTCTGTAATGGGTATGGAATATTAAGTTCATTATTATTATTATTGGAGCTATTTTTAAACAAGTAAACATTCAGAGCTGAAAACATGAAGAGAACTTTGTTAGCCTTGCATGAATTGACAAAAAAAATTATAAAAAGTTAGTTTCCATTGACCGATATGCCAATTTCATTGCTGCTTCCTGCAATAAATAGCACTTTGCAATAATACGTGGAATTTCATCACACGATTTTAATTTGTTTTTATAGCTAGCCCTTCCACCTGGTTCCGGGTTTTGGCGTTGCGGTAGTAACGAGGGTCAGGGGGCCAGATTCACCAAGCAGTTACGCAAGTACTTACGAACGTGTACATCTTTCCTCAATATTTGACGGCTTTTGTTACATTTATTAAACGGTTTACAAGCATGAAAACTTCCTAATCAACTGTTGTTATTGTTATTAACAGCCTCTTGGTGCTTCGTAGCTCATTAACTGTTTAATAGTTGTAAACAAAGCCGCCAAAGATTGAGAAAATATGTTCACGTTCGTAAGTGCTTGCGTAACTGCTTCATGAATCTGGCCCCAGGGCTATAGTGTGAGAGATGACCGTGCCCTGTGTTCCTTATGAAGAATTCCGGTTGGTTGACCTTGGTTTTCTGTGGAGCAAGCTAGCGGACTTGTCCGAGGCTTCTTAGATGCATGCTGATTGGCCCTTGGCTTCTGTGTTGCGTGCTGGTTGGTCCTTGACTTTGGTGATACCCGCTGATTGGTGCTTGGTTTCCATGGTTAACGTTGGCGGGTTCGTGGCTTCCGGAATGCCCGCTGATTGGTCTATTACTTCCGTAACATCTGCTGACAAGGTCAAAGGTTTATTTCGGCTTCCGAATTATTAAGCTGGTATTTACTTTATTAAATCCATATATTTACTTACGTGAATAATTTTGGAACTGCAAAAAATAAAGTAGAAACGACAAAGGAGAATGTGATTAATAAATAAACGAAGAGGAATGTGTTAATGGGGAAGTTGAATGTATGTAGTTGTGTGGAGGAAGAGAAAGCCACACACGTGCTCTATGTGATGTTATGGATTTTGTTATTAAGGTGCTGTTGGGAATATGTGACTGTTAGCTTGAGAATACATACAAACACACACACACACACACAGGATGGGGTACATAAAGACAGACTATTTAACACAAGGGGCACACGCACTAAGGGACACAGGTGGAAATTGAGTGCCCAAATGAGCCATAGAATGAATTTTTTCAGTGTAAGAGTAGTTGACAAATGGAATGCATTAGGAAATGATGTGGTGGAGGCTGACTCCATACACAGCTTCAAGTGTAGATATGATAGAGCCCAATAGGCTCAGGAACCTGTACATTATTTAATTGAGAGTTGAGAGGCGGGACCAAAGAGTCAGAGCTCAATCCCCGCAAGCACAAGTAGATAAGTACAACTAGGTAAGTACACACACACACAAATAGGTGAGTACGTCGAATTTTTTAAGGAATATATTTTTTTCAGCGCTTAGAGAGGCTTTTCTGGAGCCAAGGTGACGGAGGCAGGGAAGGGGCGGTAAGAAGATAGGAGATGAGATAAGGAAAGATGAAGGATGGGGGGAAGAATTATAACTAGCAAATACAAGCAAAATATGTAAATGAAAAGGAAGAGAAGGGGCATACATAGGAAGGTAGAAAAGAAGTGGAGGTGAATAGAAGCAAAACCATATGAGGGAAGGTATGAGTGTGAGGAGAGGTAGTGAAGAGAAGCAAGTGAGAGGAGTGAAGGAAAGAAAGGGAAGGGAATGAGAGGATTGAGTAGGAGTGAGGGGGTACTTACCTATTACAGGGATGCGAGGGCGTTTATGCCTCCTCATGCCCCACATACTAGCCTTATTTTATGTAGTGAAGAAGATGGGAAAAGGAGGAAAGCAGGTAGCAGTGCATGAAGGAAGGGGGGGGGAGTTGAGGGGGAAGACCAGATAGGCCAAGTGGGGAGGAAGGGAAACGGTTAGGGAAGGGAGGGAGTGAGCCAGGTGGCGCGGAGCGTGTGTGGAGGGGTGCCTGCTGGTCGACTCGTCTCCCTCAGTACCCTGTGGGACGTCGCTAGAGAGGGACTACACCTCACCCCTGCTACCTCACCCCCTCACTGGACCTCCACAACACCCATCTAAGCGACGCTCCCCTTTTACTAACTCCTTACCCCCTTCGCCCCTACGTCTTTGACCGCACCAACACTCAAAGTTAAGAACAGAATCACCGGGAAATCGGGTGAAGTGTGGTAGAAAATCTAATTACAGAGCTTCACGTGCTTGAACGTACTTACCTTGCTGGCTTGATCACCACTCACGACGAAAGATATTGCCGAGCAAGAACGCAGCCGGCCGCAACCACACGAAACTCAAGACATAAATATATATATAAAAACGAACTAATATTACGTGTAAAGGGTTGTCCAAGATCGCTGACTGGAACTCCGCAGTGTGGCTGTGGCCGACCAGGAGAGAACACCATCAAGGAGGGAAACCAAAGAGTTACTATCGTCGAGTGTGACAGGCGATGGAAGTAGAGTAGATGAGTGGTCAGTGTGACGGTAGAGTGGTAGAGGTAGATCAGTCGTAGTGCGGCAGTGTGCTAACGAACACAGTGCAATCTGGGTTCCTGGTGACACAAGAATTTATATAATAATTAAAAACATTGGATAATAAACAAGGTTTCTGAACCCCGAGTTAAGATCCGGAACAATGACAGGTGTTGCTGGTCATTAAAGGATACAGAAAAATAACATTAACGCAAATACATTTTCCATAACGCAGGAAAACAAACCAAGTGTCGAATCAACGAAGGAATTAATATTGAAGAAAGCGAAGATTAATCACCGAGACTTGAAGCACTAAGGTAAGACGCTCCAGGTTAGTTGATCTTTGGTAGAGCTCTCAAGTGAGTAAATAAACTCTTTGTGACTCGCTCATTGTCTTGGCTGCTTGGTAGGAAGTAGGTTAGTAGGAAACGAGTATACTTACAAATTTATATTTATTTATCATCGTAGATGAGATAGTTGACCAGACCGCACACTAGAAGGTGAAGGGACGACGACGTTTCGGTCCGTCCTGGACCATTCTCAAGTCGATCAAGTTATTAAGGATACAGAAAAATAACAGTAACTAATTTTTATTCCATAACGCAGGAAAACAAATCAAGTGTCGAATCAACGAAGGAATTAATATTGAAGATAGATGAGATAGGTATATGAGGGAGACTAAAGGGAAAATGACGAAGAAAGTGACTGTGAGCGGTGTGAAGATGATAAAAAAACAGAAAGTGAGAAAAGCTCAACCGGTTTTTCCTGAATAGTACATAGCAATTTGACGTATAATTTCCCATTGGCCAAAAACATATGTACTAAAAATGGCAGCGACTCGCGGAATTTACGTGGTGTCCCGTTTTCATTTAGTGGGTCCTCAGGTTGGTTAGATTCGGGCAATTTAATATAACAGTTTAGCGATGTTGAGAACGCTTGGGACAATAGGCTGGATGATCACAAAAGCTTGTAGCTTGGCTCACTCAAGACAATTCTATTATTTATTTCAGAACATTTCATTTTCTACTTGTCATTTTCACACCGTTCACCGTCATTTTCTTCGCCATTTTCTCCTTGGTCTCCGTCACTTTCTCTCTATTTTCACTAAGGTCAACGTCATTTTCTCGTTATTTTCACGGTCATTGTCATTTACACTCTGGTTACTCTCACTTTCTCGACGTTTCCACTGTAGCCATTGTCATTTTCTCGGCATTTCCACTCTGATCACCATCACTTGTCATTTCCACCCAGGTTAACATCACTTTCCTCGTCATTTCAATCTGCTCAACAGTAGCGTCCTCGTCACTTTCACCAGTCACCGTCACTTTCTTGTCATGTTCATTCTAGTCACCATCACTTTCACACACGGAGCGAGAACCAAAAAATAATAATAAAACACACAAATAAAACAATCATAAAACGATTGTATGTGTGCGTGGGAAGGCAGAGCTGTGAGTATGAGAACTTCTTGAGCGTCTTGGCACATACGCCTGGCAATTTTGTAGATTTAGAGGATTTTGTAGGTTTAGAGGATTTTGCAACTTTATAGACGTTGACGGTGGCTCACAGACGTTGGCATTTACACCTGTTGACACTTGTTCGTATATCTCCATGTGTCTTATATATCTGCGTGATTGCTTTAACTATCCATGATTGCTTGCAACTTTGTTTCCATATATATATAATATATATATATATATATATATATATATATATATATATATATATATATATATATATATATATATATATATATATATATATGATGGTAGCCGAGGCTACCATCCTCTTTTGTCCGGTCGTGTTGGTCGAGTGGTTAAGGTGTCCTGTACGACAGATGCAGAGTGTTCCTGGCAGTATGAGTCCGAGTCACTCCTGGGGTGTGAGTTTTCAGTTGCATATATGCCTGGAGACCGTTCAGGCTTGTTCGCATATATATATATATATATATATATATATATATATATATATATATATATATATATATATATATATATATATATATATATATATATATATATATTGCCCGACCCGAAACGCTGTGTGCTAGTGGTTTTACAAGAAAGTAAAATCATCATTACTATGTACTCTCTTAACGCCTAATGTACCTTCTTGTATATAAATAAATAAATTAAATGGGCTTCAGGGGACAGGCCAGGCATGATATCAACTTCCAAGTCTTTCTCTCTTTTTGATTCTTGAAGAATTTCATTTCCCAAATGATACTTTGTATCTGGCTTCCTGCTCCCTGCACCTATCTTCATTACATTACATTTGCTAGGGTTAAACTCTAACAACCATTTATTCGACCATTCCTTCAGTTTATGCAGGTCTTCTTAAAGCCTCAAGTAATCCTCCTCTGTCTTAATCCTTCTCATAGTTTTGGCATCATCAGCAAACATTGAGAGGAGTGAGTCTATACCCTCTGGGAGATCATTTACGTATATCAGAAACAGGAGAGGTCCGAGTCACTTTCATAGCCCTATGGGACTCCACTGGTACTTCACGCGAATCTAAGGTCTCCTCACTAACTCTGCTTCCTATTGCTTAGGTACTCCCTTATCCAGTGGAGCACCTTACCAGTTACTGTACTCACCTATTTGTGCTTGCGGAGGTTGAGCTCTGGCTCTTTGGTCCCGCCTCTCAACTATCAATCAACTGGTGTACAGGTTCCTGAGCCTATTGGACTCTATCATATCTACACTTGAAGCTGTGTATGGAGTCAGCCTCCACCACATCACTGCCTAATGCATTCCATTTGTCAACCACTCTGACACTAAAAATAATCTTTCTAATTATATCTGTTGCTCATTTGGGCACTCTATTTCCACCTGTGTCCCCTAGTGCGTGTGCCCCTTGTGTTAAATAGCCTTTATTTATCTACCCCTGTCAATTCCTCTGAGACTCTAGTACGTGGTGATCATGTCCCCCCTAACTCTTCTGTCTTCCATGGACGTGAGGTTTAATTCCCGTAGTCTCTCCTCTTATCTCATACCTCTCAGCCCGGGTACACACACACACAGTGTGTGTGTGTGTGTGTGTGTGTGTGTGTGTGTGTGTGTAGAAGAATAATCTTTCTTCTCAATAACATCGAATTAGAGAATTACCTTTTCTTGAATATAATATTTATGAGGTGTTGCTCCACCGTCTCAGAACCTTGGGTGAAGTGTGACCTTAGACACGGCTGCGAGCTACGATGCTTGGAGTGAACTCTGAACCACAGGAAACACGCTCGACACAATCCGTGTGCGATCTCTCGTCCTCAACAATAGTTCGTTTCCTGTTTCAGTGCCCACGCCCTTATTAGATTCACTAATACAAAGATAAATGTTCATTTTTTTCTGCATTCGTGAAGCCAGTCATGCGTGTTCGAAGCGTTCACTTGTTCGTGAAATTAGCTGTATAATGCCCTTGATTATGTTGGTACAATTCTAAACCCTAAAGTTGTATTCTCCATTTTACCCCTGTGTGAATTCCCGAGACGCAATCGTGAGCAGGACCAGATGTCAACTGGAGAATGGTGTTCAAGCTTAGAATGCCGATTTTATCGAGCCTGTCTTGGACGGTGGCAAGAGTTTCGTGCTGCCAGGGATGTTGGCAAGAGGTTCCTTCCCGCCAGGGATGTTGGCAAGATGTTCTTACTCGCCAGGGATGTTGGCAAGAGGTTCCTCCCTGCCAGAGATGTTGGCCAGAGGTCCCTACCCGCCAGGGATTTTGGCAAGAGGTCCCTACCTGCCAGGGATAATGGGATAAGTTTCGTCTCACCTATTAGAAATAGATTCGTTCTCTGCCAGTCAAACCTTGATCAAGCAGCATTTACTGAATGATTAATGAGACATGATTTTCTGATCTGCAACTTTTACGTCTGAGTCATTCGTATGTTTACGTTTGAGTCATTCGCATGTTTACGCCCAGTGACAGGAATAATGACAGTGACAGACAAGAGAGGCTCACAAATAAATACCACGTCAATATCAAGCTAGTGTTAACCTTAGTAAATAAATAAACAGGCGCTCAAAATATCTTAAATTTCAAGCCTAAGGAAGCACAAAAAGTGATGAGAGAAACTTGAGGTAATAAAGCTCTTCAAACTTGACGTATGATAATTGCACTTCAATCAGAAAAGATAATTTTATTCCAAGATGTAACTCTGCACATCGTCAGATCAAGAAGAGTTTAAGAAAGTTGTTGAAAATCTCCAAGCAGTCATGATAGCCTTACTTACTTCCCACAAGTTACATCTTGCTCAAGCAAAATCTAGAGCTGGCTAGAGAAGGAAAAATCATTCAAGTGATTTACTAAAATCTCGCCTGGAAGATTATATTCTCCCAGTCTCTCTCTCCTATTCTGTATCCTGTGTCTGGCCCTCCTGTTTCCACCGCCTAGTTTCATTACTTTGCATTTACTCGGGTTAAACTTTAGCAGCCATTTATTGGACTATTTATTCACTCCACTGGTGACATTTGTTAGATTTGGTGAAGGAACGTAGTTTGGGTCACAGAGAAGAGTCAACGTACATGATAGAATTCGTGTGTTTGAGGTTTGTGCGTGTAATGGTGTTCGTTGTGTGTGTGTGTGTGTGTGTGTGTGTGTGTGTGTGTCGTTCGTGGATGTATTTTGTTCATTGTTTTTGGCGTTCGTGGGTTACGTGGACATTATGTGTGAGGTTAATGGGTGCCTGGTGGTCGGTGAACATGGCGCTCGTGGATGTGTAGTGTGCCTGAGTCTGTGACGTCCTTGGCCGTGCAGAACTGCCGGAAGTCCACCACATTAATGTATTGGTCATTGACCTTCCACTTGAAAGGTTTTACGCAAGTTAGCTGTTTTATTCCTCTTCTGCCTCTGCTACTTTTGCTTCTCCTCGATATTCTCTTTCTCTCTTTCTCTCTTTCTCTCTTTCTCTCTTTCTCTCTTTCTCTCTTTCTCTCTTTCTCTCTTTCTCTCTTTCTCTCTTTCTCTCTCTCTCTCTTTCTCTCTTTCTCTCTCTCTCTCTCTTTCTCTCTTTCTCTCTTTCTCTCTTTCTCTCTCTCTCTCTCTCTCTCTCTCTCTCTCTCTCTCTCTCTCTCTCTCTCTCTCTCTCTCTCTCTCTCTCTCGTTCTCTCTCTCTCTCTCTCTTTCTCTCTCTCTCTCTTTCTTTCTCTCTCTCTCTCTCTCTCTCTCTCTCTCTCTCTCTCTCTCTCTCTCTCTCTCTCTCTCTCTCTCTCGTTCTCTCTTTCTCTCTCTCTCTCTCTCTCTCTCTCTCTCTCTCTCTCTCTCTCTCTCTCTCTCTCTCTCTCTCTCTCTCTCTTTCTCTCTCTCTCTCTCTTTCTCTCTTTCT